CACATGTGTAAACAAAAACCCGCCCGAAATCCGATTTTTTTTTTTTTTTTTTGCATCCGATCTGAGCCACTTCCAAATGTGGATTTTAATCGGATACACATCTGATATCTGGACATCCGACCTACGTCTAAACACACATATCCGATTCTCCACAGAACTCCCAATGCGAGGGTGACACGTTTGCTCATAAAGATTTTAAATGCCATTTTAATGCCGGCGTGCTGTATGTGCTCGCATTTTATTGAGATGGAAACTTTTTATAGGTAAGAAATTGCACATTCAGGAGCTGGTTTTCAACCCCCGCCCTGTGAATTTTGAAAATACAACAGCTAAAAGCTACATATATTTCTCAGCAATGAGGTGACAACTTAGCAGTTTTTGTAATTAAACGACAAGCTTGTTTGCAATGCTTCACAATCGCTCGCTCGCACGTGGGTGCATGTGTTCGTTCTCTCTCTCTCTCCTTAATTCGAATTCATTTCAATATATATATCATCTTTATTTCACTAAAGAATTCTACCTCAGAAGAGTGCGAGTCCTCACGCGTCACGCGCTGTGTGAAGTACAGACTGAACGGATTGTCAACACATCCCTTCGCTGTATGGCCAGATGAGATGCAAACGTTTTCTCGACTGGATAACCAGTCTCGCTAGTAATGTTTTGATGGATGAAGACTGCAATCAAGGTAAAGACAATTGCGGTGGCATACAGGAGTCGTACAGTACAGTGAGCACGTGTGAGTCCGTTATAATAATGCATGTATGAGTGCTCTTGACACACTGATCGCACATTGTATTTATGCACAGGCACAGACATTTCCGTACATTCACGATAATGTTTTGATTTGTCATATTTTTGTTGCTGTGTTTAGTTTTTCTGAATGGATCAAACACAGATATCGGATACCAGTCGTGTCTAAAGTGAATGTAAACAGACGTGCCAAAAAATCGGATATGGTCAAAAGATCGGATCTGTGCATTAAGACTTGCAGTGTAAACGCAGCCTTAGTAATGCTGACACATCCAGAACTGTGTCAACACTTCCAGGCTACTTAATTAATATAAAAAGGATGGCACAAAAAAGTGAGGAGAGCCATTAGTGACTACATTTCTGCTAACAAATACTGAAGTAGCTGAGAGTGGAACGAAAGCATATTTTAGTTGGGGGAGCTAAAGAAAAATGAACTAGATTTTACAGTTTCTGAGGAAAATGTGAATGGTGTTTGCTTGTGCAATTAGTCACCTACATAATACCAGGGTGCTGAAGGTAGTTGCTAAAACTCTGGAAAATGTGTTGTGAAATTAGACGATATAGGATTTAAGACAGTTCAATCCAATGAACGGACTGTAGATAAATGCAGTCAGCAGGCGGTTGGTTTATGGGTTTTTGGCATCTCCATGTGGTCCTGTTTGGTTTCGCAACTTGACTTCTCTAAAATGTAAAAAAGCTCTCTGCTGTTGCACTGTACACATAGGCTACTATACAATTCAGATTTGTTTTAGTATGTTTTTTCTTTCATATGTGCTTATATGGGCTCCTTATATCATTTGGTTCTTTGGTGTCCTTTTGGAGTACTTTTTTGGAAAGACATCTAAATTAATCTTAAAAAAAGCTTGCAGAAAATACAGATTTTTGACTATTGTCTGTTTTATCATAGTTCAATCACTTCTAAAAAGTAATTTTACTTTTTTTATTTTAAATCTCCTCTCAACTACTTCATTTGAGGTCCATAGTACATTTCTAGAGTTAATTAAGGATTTGTTACTAAATCCCTATGAAATAGTTTAAGATACAGTAATGATTCATTAGAAATAATTAATGAGTGTAAAAAAAAACTATAAGTGATATATGAATAAGAACACCAAAAGAAAGGTGTCTATGAAATAAAAAGAAAACAAGAAAAGGAACTGAACAAGTTGAGAAATATAAGGAAAGATTGAAAAACACTGAACATTTTTATCATTTAAATTCATTGTGGAAATAAAGAGAAATTAGAAAGAGAGTGACAGAAACAGAGATGTAAGGAGAGGAAGACAAAAGCTGCAAAAAGAGGAAGTCTAGAGAAAACACATGTTTGTACTAAAACAACAGACCAAAAAGAGTAAAGTCCATTTTATACTTTCCTGATTTCTCTAACATGATGGAATAGCTCTGATAATGATAGAAAACCTCTGGAACAAACAGTTCAGGGTGCCAATACACTAACACAAAG